GAGGTGTGTATTGTTTCGAAAGTCGGATTCCTGTGCCGTGCATGTTCCCAATCTCGTCGTAGGTACTGTCGTGCGTGCCTTAGTTTTTAATTGTAACGCTCCGTCCCGTTTGGCCACGGTGAGTCGATATCCCCGTCACGATGACATTTAATGTCGTGCGATTATTCCCGATTTCTGGCTCGTTGGCTCGTTAGCGTTTTTTCTCGGCGTTTACGCAAGCACGTAAAATGCCAAGCGGTAAACCATTAGATATTTACGGTACATCTCGTAAATATCTATATAAAAAAAAACAATTTTTTTTTTTTACGATTCTTTTATATCATCAACTCGTCAAATGAGACAATGAGCAAAATTATTTTGCTACACATGTAGACTAGAGTATATAATTTCTCCTCTTATTTATTATAGCTTGAAATATATAAACCGAGAAGGTGTTTGAACATTTGATTGTTAAGTTGATTCATTTGTAATTTATTTAACAAAATTTATATGTACAGTATTTGTACAAGTTTAAAAACAACGTAAGAAATCGGTCCTGTGGCGCAACGGATAACGCGTCTGACTACGGATCAGAAGATTCCAGGTTCGAATCCTGGCAGGATCGTTCGATGTTTTTTTTATTCGATTTTATCACTTCGTACGGATTATTTTCTGTTCGCGGAAATATTCATCGAGAGAGATGTTACATGGGGAAAGATGCGATAATCCCGTTTTTGTGAGGGGATTATTTTAACACAAGGCGGTTTGATAAATTCGCCTTTTGATAATACGCAATGTAGCATTACTAAAAAAAAGTTTAGTTGTAAACGACGTTCATTTGGAATTTTATGTTGGATTAACGTAAATTAATATTACGAACACTGTTTTCTAAATTTATTTTACTAGTGTGACATCTTACAATAAAAACGTGTGGAAGTATTATATATTTACTTCTACCTGAATTGAATGTTACACAATGGAATTAAAAAATTATGTGACAAGCAATAGTATCGATCAGTTTGATTGAGAATTACTCGTGAATGCATTATGTTGTTACTCGTCGACGGAGGATTTTTCTCTCGTGTTGTAAAACTATTTTTACAAATATTTAAAACGCATATTGCATGCGAATTTTTTCGGCGCACCGAATTCCCGAAGAATCTCTCCAGGAATAGTGCGCATTCCAGAGAGGCCAGAACGAGAGGCCGGTGCACTTTATTCCTCCCTTTGCATTCTTCGCCACGAAAGTTCACCCGGAAGATAAACACAGAGTCTCGAGTCTCTAGTGATCATCTGCTCGTGATCGTTGGCTCAACTTGAATTTCGAAGTTTCGAATCGAGACCAGTCGCGGCTCGAATGGAAAACAATTCAAATAGGAAATCTTTTTTAATTGGAAAAGTTGAGACTCGCGTTTTGTTGTTTGGAAAAAATTCATTTGGAACGTGTTCGTGCAACTTGTCGGGTGAAAGCACGAAAATTTTGCTCCACAGAGTACGATGAACTTTCTCTCTCTTTTTTTT